GAAAAAACACTGCCAATGCCTTTCTTCAAGAGATCCAAATCATTTTTAAGTCATTCAACACAAAGAACGATGAAAAGATTTGACAAAGTCAAGTCAAAGATTAAAGAAACGAGATTCATTTGACCATCGTCTTCAACAAATCCACCAAATCACAGATCGAATAACGAGAACCATGTCAATCCGACTCTCTTCTTCAAAAAATCACCAAATCAAAGATTGAGGAATACGTTGGTCAAACACTTGTCTTTACCAAATCTATCAAAGTCAACATCAAATCAAAGATCGAGAAAATACATTGATCTGACCCTCATCATCATCAAATCCATTGAGAATCAGAAGACAGTGCACGTGAGAAGCACGCCGAAGAGAGTCAACACCACTTTATTAAATTAAGTCAAATCATCAACAATTATAATTTTGACATTACTTTTGTGTTATATTACATCACAAAAAAATGTCATTACACATAGATCAAGTGGTAAATAAGGATCTTGAGTTTGAATTACATGAATATTATAATCTCAGCGTGAATGAAATGTCTTTGACCAGACCGAAAAAATGATTAATTGAGGTGTGCGTAAATTAACCTATTTTTTTTTTCAATGGTCAGGGTGCCTAAGTCAATTTAAGCACATCTCCACTAAAGATTATATTACACTATTAGGAATAAAAAATTTGATAAACAAATTTAATAAAAATAACTTTTTCCAAAAAAAATTCAATGGTGTAACAATTCGAATTCTCTTCCATACTAACAATACACACTTTTGTAATTGGCCGTGGGTGTGTCCACCCTATGGGTCATATCAAAAAGGCCTGGCGGCCCAATGAATAGCCCGATGGCCAGACAATCCACCACCACCAGGCTGCCCATTAACAGCTATTGATTTTAAAATTATATGGTAATAAAAAATAAGAAAATCTTCTTCAAGAGGGTCTTCCATAGTTTCAAGAGGATTTTCTCTAATAGCTTCTTAATTTGACCAGAAAGTATTCATTTCATTTCAGATAAATGTCTTTTGCTTGACTATGAAAATTCGAACAAAATTGAAAACTTGACTAAACCTTATAGGGGTGGGCGAGAGGAAAGTAAAATTCGTGGATGAAGAACAAAAAATTAGCATCGTGATTAGACTCAAGAGAAGAGAAGTATTCTCTCCCTTCTTCCTTAACCCTTTTTTAATTAATTGTAAATTTTTTCTGCATCCCAATATATTTGGCTTGTTACATAGCTGTATTTGCAACTCCAAGATTACCGAGAGCCAAATCTTCTTTTCCATGAATAGAATAAAATAAGTTAGAGAAGTGGTGTAGCTTTCTATTGGGTAAATTACAATGACACCGCTTGTCGTTTTTGACATTTTCACTGCACCCCTCCTTCTTTTCAAAATCACAATCAGATCCCTTGTCAATGTTGTCTCCCCAATTGGTGTTAATAGAAATGGAGAAATTAAAATTTTACCCTCGCCTATTTTTAAGAGTCTATTTGTTTAGCAAGAAAATAATAAAAAACACAAAAAAGAGAAATTTTTTAAATTTTTCATGTGTTTGGTTAGTACAAAATGAAAAATGATGGCAAAAATAATTTTCTTTCATATTTGAATTTTCTCACAATTAACCATTTTTTTTTCTTGTAAAAAATACAAGAAAATTGTGATTTATAACTAACTTCCTATTTTACCCTTATTTTTTAAAAATATTTTATTGGTTATTAATTTTTAAAAATCTTGGTATAAATTTGATTAACCATATAATTTAATTCAAAGACCTTCGTGCTGATACTTGTTCCAGAATTAGGTTATGAACCACTTTTTTAAATATATTTTAACTTTTAATTATAATATATATTTTTTCTTCTTTAAATTGACTTAATATAATTAGATGGTAATTTAGATAATTAGAAAAATTTTCTTATAACTTTCCTTTCTTTCATTCAATAAAATGAAAATTCTTTAAAACTTTCTTACAAAATTTTCATGCTAATCAAATACATGTATGAAAATATATTTTTTCATCATCATTTTTTCTTTCGCTCCAGTTTCTATCATTTTTACTCTTATATTTTTTTCCCAACCAAACTGACCCTAAGCTACGCTCGATTTCTGGCTTTCGGTTTATTGAGTTTTTTATTTCCAAAGTTGCTTGGAATTGGGTTAGTTGTGTGGGTTTGAGTTGGAGGAGAAATTGAATCGAGAAATTGAGGTAGAAATTATGCTTGAGTGGTGATTCATGGCAGATTGACATGTGGGTTGATTTGGAGTTGGTATTGCTGATGGAGTTAGGGATGAGTTCTAGTTGGAGTTGGTGATGAAGTTTCAGGGGCAAAGTGGGTAATTCATGCTTCAAATTTGATGACATAATTGTTGTCAGGCTTATCACCCAGTTGCCAGTTAGGTGAGGGTTGAATTGTTTACAAATTATCAAATCTTTAAGGGGTTTTTTGTAATTTTAAAAATGAGGGGGTGCAGTGAAAATATCAGAAACAACAAGGGGTTTCATTGTCATTTTACCCTAAACTATTTTAACACCAAAAGTCTTTCCTAGTTGATGTTTTTTTTCGAATTTTTATATATAGAGAATCGTATGTGTTTTGTACGTAGCTAAATACAACCAATATAATATATAAACCAAAATGGAAACATTTCATGTGCAGCTTAACGTGTAGATGCTAAGTCACATACAAGTCATTGGTTGGTGTTCAAAGGATAATGGCAAGCACATGAGGACACGTTCTTTGACTTTTTTCCTATTTCAGTTTAATCAAAAACTCATTACTTTTGATCACCTCGATCGAAAGCCATTTTAAGAGTTTGTCCCGGTTGGTATGTCTGGAAACCACGCGAAAAGAAGAGAAAAATCAGGATTGGCATGAAAGAGGAAAAGTGAAAGAAACAGAAAATAACATTAAAATTACACATATAGCTTTTAAATTATGATATTTATGTAAATTAAATCTTTGAATTTTTTTTTTTTGTATATTAATTGAGTTTCTAAACTCATTAATTGTGTAAATTGAGTCATTTTATCAGCATCTGTTAAAATTTCTAACGGAAAATAACAGAGTGTCACTCATGTAACTAAGTTGTAACTCATTTGTGTCACGTGAGTGGCACACTCCGCTTCTTTCCATTCGTTAGAAAATCTAATGGAAATATATAGAAGGACTTACTTAATACAATTAGACAGTTTAGAAACTCAATTGACACAAACTAAAAATTCAAAAACTTAATTGATATAAGAATTATATATAATTTACTTTAGAAAACAAAATAGAAAAATGAGGAAAAAAATAAAATCATTTTTATTTCTTTCATTGGAGCGAAAAGTGGAGAGCATTTCCAATTTCAAGTCTTCTTTCGAATTTTATTTATGGTTTCCTTCTTCGGTTGGCACAAATCGAGTAAATATTGCGTGTAACGATAACATTACGTCATCTTTGATATGTAATATCACTATCTAATAATAAACCTATAAATGAGTAAGGTGAATCCCACTTGTGTGATTATTAAGTATAGTAATGCTATGTAGACCTGAAAATTTGATCTCATTTGTTGACTGATTCACTATGACATTTGAATTGACTATAAATTTCATTAAATATTAAAATTTGCTAATGATTTCAATAAAGTTATATCATTAAGTTTACAAATGACATTAGATTTTTAGATTCAAATAACATTATTCTATTAAATAACATATCAGAATCTACTAACTTATTTGTTATATTTTTATTAGATAGTAATATTTAGTGTCTTTGATAATGATGATATGTAAGCCCAATATTTTTTAGTTCAAACCAATGACATTAGGGGTAAGTTTGGACAGTGGGTTAACTCCTATAAGGATAGATTATTAATGCAATAGATCCCATGTATCCTTTGTTTGGGAAGCTAAATTTAAGCCAGTATATAAATCCCGGGTTAAACATTGATCCGACTGCTACAGTTGAGTTTAACCCTCTTAGATGGGTTAAAATTAACCCACCCCCACCCTAGGATTCAATCCTAGCCGACAAGTTTTTTTATGGGTAATGACATATTTATCCCTCTTCTTTCTCGTGTAATGTTCCATTCTCTTTCTTCTATATCTGGGTTAAGAGCTTTGTGAAGGCGATGCAGAAGACCAGGAGGAAAGCATCTGGGTCTTTTTCTCTTTGCTTAATTGGAGTATTATTACGACAATAGGGTGGAGTTGGGGTGCTAGTTGTAAAACAAAATCATTGCAATTTATTTTTGAATTCATCGCTAATTTACAAAAAAAAAAAAAATAAACAACACTTAAGTTTAATTTATTTTTTTCTCTGGTTGTTCTTCAATAGCCATGCAAGAGAGAGAGGGAGAAAGAGGAGAAGAGAGAGAGGGAGAATGAGGAGAAGAGAGAGGGAGAGCCGAAAGAAAGGTATGAGATAAATGAGTTGTTTTTGGCTCACCAGTGAATTGAAAAGAGGAGAGAAAAGGGTTTGAGAGTAGCAAGAGGAAGTTGAAGACTGTCTGCTTTTGGACGAAGAAGATCGTCTACTTTTGAATTCAGAGAGGAGAGAAAGGAGTTTAAAGGATAGAATGATCAAAATAATTTAAATAATATTTTTGACATACTCATAATCATGGGACTACAAAAATGAAAAATTACATATCAAACAACGGGTAGGACATGATATCTCATTATATCCAAACCAATACAAGTAAAAGGTGGGTTAGGCACGAATGAGAATGAATATAAATTTGAAATCTTATCTGATCCTTTCCAAACATCCAAACACACCCTAAAAAATTTTTTTGAACAGAACATGTACAGAAAAATCCACATAATAATCCACAAAACACAAGAAGTTTGAAAGTCGAATTTTTGCTAGGATTGAACGTGTCAAAAACTACGTCAACTCAGTGTTTACGACACGAAATAGCACGAGAGCCGTGGGGAAATGTACTATTCAACTTCTTTTTTTTCCATTTGCTTTGGTGGTTCAAAACCGAAGACTTGCCCAACTTGTCAACAACCCCTGGAAATCTAAAAAAGAATCACTTTTCTTTAGCCTGCCAAAAAAATACTAGTCTGGCCAATCAAAAATAGCCGGGCCAACCCAGTCGGCGTCAAACGCGCATCGTCTCCCATATATCTTCCTCCTCGAACAATCCATTCATCCATCCATCCAAGAGAGAGACCAACGCAATGTTTCCTCCGTCCTAATTTCCCAATCCTCCCCAAGAAAACTGAAATACACATATTCTGAGGTTTAGCGAAAAAGAGGGCAATCAATTTAATCCCATACCCATTTGGCTGTTTGTGTTTGTGCCCATTCCATTTCGTTCAACTCCCCACGTGGTCACTCATCTCCAAAACTTCCCAACAAAAGCTGGAGAGAGGGAGAGAGAGAGAGAGAGAAACAATGGAAACAACAGGTACTGCCGTTCAGTACAAGCGGAGCCTTATCCAGAAGATCCCTTCAACCTCCTCCTCGTTCCGCCTACGCTGCCCCAGTCTTAATTCCGTTCGTCTCCGTCGAATTTTCGATGTCTTTGACAAGAACAAGGACTGTGTGATTACCCCTGACGAGCTCAGCCAAGCCCTCAATCTTCTCGGCCTGAAAGCCGATCCATCGGAGTTGAATTCCATAGTCAAGTCATACATCAAACCCGGCAATGCCGGGCTTAGATTCGAAGACTTCGAAGCCCTACACAAATCATTGAATGACATGTTCTTTGGTCTGGACGATGACTTGGCGACGGTGGAAGAGCACGGTGCAGCTTGTGCTGATCCACAGGCGATGGAGGAGTCGGATCTGTCAGAGGCTTTCAAGGTGTTCGACGAGGATGGCGATGGGTACATAAGTGCGAGGGAGTTGCAAGTAGTGTTACAGAAGCTAGGATTGCAGGAAGGGAGAGAGCTTGACAGAGTCGAGCTCATGATATCTTCCGTTGACCTCAACCAGGATGGCCGTGTGGATTTCTTTGAGTTCAAGGATATGATGCGTAGTGTCATGGTCCGCAGTGCTTAGACCTTAGATATATGTAATCAAGTCTCTTTCTTTTGTATTTCCCATCAGCAGGATCGTATCATATGCCCGTTTCTTTTTCTTTTTTGTTTTGGTTTGAAACCTTGCTTTTGTGTCAAATTTATAATAACAACTTTCCCCCGTATGGGGTTTGTTCATCTGCTATCATTGTTTCACTGGGTATGTGCTTTGATGTCAAGTCTCCCTTCGTTTTATTTTTCTTGGAAAGCTTGCTTCACAGGTTCCTGGATGCAGCCTAAGAGTCTTATTTATCATTATTCAACCAGTTATAACAATAATTATGATGTTAAGGGGAAACTTTCGTTAATATTTCCGGAGCACAACTGGGTTTCTCACGGAGCGAATCTCTTGCTCTATAGATATAGATATAGATATCGAGAGAGAGAGAGAGAGAGAGAGAGAGAGAGCGCGAGAGAAAGAGAGCATTCGTAGGGGTCATTTTTTCTATTGGAATTATTTGCTTGGTTCATATCCTATAATTACTACTGCCCCTCTTTTGTTTGATGATAAAATTAAAACATCCTGGCAAAGGTTGCGGATTCGTGGTAGAATGTGGATTTGGGTGTTGCAGCCAAAAACAAATCCTATTTGGGCTATTGCCATCCCCATTACCATTGTCCATGCCAGTTAGTCTGCTTCTGTAACAAATTATATCTATTCTTCAGTCTTCATCAATGAGCTCTAGGTCTAGGTAATCCTGTTAATATCCATGAAAACCAACCAAGAAACATTCTTAATTTTTCTCCGAAATCATGCACTACAAACTGATTGATCTTATTGGAGGGAAGTTTTCCTCCATTGGGATTGAAATTTCTCCTTGGTGTGAGCACTTGAGCCTTAGCAGCGTTCACTGCTGTGTTTTTTCGCTGCAGGGTATATGTAGGATTAATGTTCTCTCTAACATAATGTCAATTATGTTGAGCATCTGAAATTAATTTGGCATAATTAGCGAATAGTACTGTACTATCTATCAAGTGAATGTGGATCAAAACAACCAAAGGACGGAGACTTTAGGTCAACGTCATAAAGCCATTATGGGTCGTTTCACAATAAACGTGGTAGGGCTGTCACTTTCCAACATTAAGTGGGAACATCGCTGTTTTGTAGAATGATGCATGCCTGCCTGCTCAATCTTCCTTTTCACAAGGCAAAAGTCTAATTGAACCACTTCTTTTGAATGCCAACTGCAATATCTTTTCTAAAGTTTTCATTTACAATAATACTACGCTGATCCAATTAAAAATCCAAATGACGTGACAATATATTATTTGGAGTTTGTATTAGGGCTCAAATGACAAAATATCAAATAAAAAAATCAAAGTCAGTTACTATGTTATTTAAACTTTTAATTTAATCTAAAAAATTGATCATTACTTATTCCACTTATTTAGGGAAATAAATGTCTTAGCCTCCAGTGGACGGCGGAAATGAAAAGTCGGTCAACAACAATATTTGATTTGAACGTAATGGAAGAAGTTAGTAATTGGTTAGCTTCAATAATGATAGCAACCAACCGTTCAAACGTTCCAGATCGGAACTCTGGTACACAAAAAATCATTTCATAACTTTCTATCTCTGGAGAATAATTGACTGAAGAAGGTTACATACTGAAGTGATCCTATTTGGGTGCTGTACAAAAGTAAAGTTGATTTAAAACTAAGGCTTGGAGTTGGGTTTGAGCGACTGGGCTCCCCTCCATTTGATTTCTTTATCACTTCCATCACTTTCGGTGGCAATAATATCACCCATTTTCTTATGCCTCAACTGGACTTGCATCATAGGTTGGGTTGGGTGGGGTGGTCCAACCCAGTATTGGGTCAAGGGAGGCCATGGCCCAACCGCCAAATTTGACCAGACGGAGAATGGTGAGGTTGTTAAAAAAGAACTCGGTCACGATAGGTAGTTTGAAAACTCTTTTCTGCAGCAATTTTTTTTTTTTTTGAAAAAAGGTAATGTTATAGGAAGCTAATTTAATGTTGTCATTAAATTAATTGTGAGTTTATTTTTAATTTAATAATTATATTAAATTAGTTCCCGAATTTAGTTCCTAATAATATTTTTTTTAAAAAAAAAAAAAATTTTGGTAGCCAATTCATTAGTTTTCCTTGGGGTTGCTTGCGAATTATGACAAAAAGTTTCTTAACTTCCGCAACAAGCGTTCCCACATTTTCTTGTCCCACGGATTTTGATGCTAGTAAGTGGTCTTCTGTCCAGGAGCAGGGACAGAGCGAAATTAAGATTCCTTCACTTCATTATTAATTCAAAAGCATACATCCAATCCAACATGCTGCTATCAGCACTTGGGTTTTATTAGATCTGTTATTGCCACTTTCGCCCAATCAAGGGGAGAAGAAAGGACCTGAATATGCTACCTAACCTACTTCATGGGTATATGGTTGTTGTAGTGAACTTTGAACTCACATTTTTCCTATATTTTACTCGGTGATTAAAAGATTTATTTGCAAATGGATTAGGTACAATAAACAAATAATGTAACTTCTCACAAGCATGGTGATCTGGAAGAGCATAGGCAGCATCTTCGACACCAGAATTTTCAAGCCTTGAAAATTTACTTTTTTATCGGATGACAAGTGAACTAAATAAGATAAATCGTATTTGTCATTTTATTTCTTATTTCGTGTTTGTTTGTCTCGTAAGTTTAAAATATGAATGAAGACGAATATTTAAGTTGGAGATATTAACAAGTATGGTGGGAAAAAGAGTCATTGTCATGAACAACCATTAAAATACTGCATGGTAGGTGCAGAGGCACCGGGTTTTTGACAACGGGTTTTGAGGGTTGGGGTTGGAGTTGAATGAATTGGAACAAGTCTTTGACTTATATACAAAACCAAAACCAGACGCTCACGTTCAAGGGAAAACACGAAACATCACCATTAACTCTATCAACCCTTATTAATCTACCTTGGACTATTAGACTGCTCTGTACGTTGGACCACCTCTTTCTTACTTGGAAGTTGGAGAGAGAGAGAGAGAGGAGGAGGAGGAGGAGAAGAAAGTATCCAATTGATTGGAAATAGAACTAAGAGAAAGGCGCAGGTACGTAAACAGATATCCTTTCAAAGTATGTCAGCTCCACCAATAGCACCATATATGCCACCATCTACTCTGATGCCGTTGAATTTTCAATTAAGTCTTCTAGATATCTTATGTACATGACCATATGTATATGTTCTTTTCAGGGTTGTCACTGTTACATTCGTTTCTAAATGGAAACCATGATCAAATTCCAAAGCCCAAGACTAGAAGAGAGTTTCTCCTTCACCTCCTCTCTCTTGCTCTTCTCCGATGATGGTGATAATTATAATGATGATTACAACGACGATGATGCATACATTGAGATAGCTCTTGAACCAGCACAAACACCACCCATACCAACCCATGAAAATGAGGAAGGAAATACTGATGCGGAATTAGAGTTTCGCATGTCGATTTCGTCTGTGGTTCCCTTGCCAGGATTTTCCTCCTCCTCTTGCTCCTCCACAACCACTTTGTTTTCTTCCACAGCAACTTGTTCCAATGAGTCCGCCGATGCATATACTACCATGTACACGGGTGTACCTGCATCTGCAGGGTCCGAGCTTTCTTGTATCCGCAGAACAAATAAACAGAATGAACAGTATTCGAGGATCAATCGTCTTTTCAATGTTTTCTTGTCTAGCATGAAGGGATCACCATCAGAAACCGGCAATGAAAATGGCGGTCGTCAGCAACCGGCGGTCAATAAGGGTAACTGGGACACGGTGCGGAACAGGTAATAATTTGACTTGTATAATTAATCCAAATTTCCTGTTTAATGCCATGTAAACATATATATTTTTAACTTATGTCTGTTGTTTTCTTCTCCATGTTGTATGCATACGGCAAGAATATGGATAAATTTATTCTTTTATCATGATCATGGTCATCGCCATCTTCATCCATGATTTTAGTTTTATATACTATGATTGATGAAAACTTTTTATGAATCTCCATTTGAACACAAGGACAACTAGCATGCTGCCAAAGCCACATTTCATCGGAAGAAATAAAAGGATAAAAAATTTTCCTTCTAGTATATGCGCCTAGGCTAAGGGGGTCTCTTACCTGTATATGAACTTGCATGCATTTTCTTTGCACAATTTGTATGCATTTCACTGCCATGGCTTTTACAATACCGATTATAGACAGACTGATTTATATGTTAAGCTAAAACACCCGCACAGCAACGAAAACTGTAAAAGAGGAGCAAAACCAATGGCTTATTTGTGACTAACTCGTCAGTAGGCGCTGATCCACTAGATGTTTATTAAAATTACACCTTATAATTAATTGTCTTTGTGTTTGAAAGCATATCAATGAGAGCAATGCTATTAGGACCTAAAAATCTGATCTAATTTATTAACTTAATTCACTGTGACCTTTACATTGACTGTAGACCCCATCAAACATTAGAATTTGGTGTTGATCCAATGATTCCTATTAAGTCACGTCATTATGTCAGCAAATTATGTCAGATTTTTAGGTCCAAATAACATTACTCTATTACTCTATCAATGAACTAGTTATTGTTTGTGTCTGAAGGCACAAAGTAATAAAAAATGATAAATAATAAATATAATTATATTCATATCCAAAATTAAATAGCAAACATAGAACATAAATAAAAGAATTTAAATATCGATTTGTAGTGAGAGTGAGAGATAGTGGGCGGTAAGAGATAGTAATAATTGTGGCGGCGACGACGGCGTTGGTGGTGGCGGCGACGGCAGCGACGGTGGTGGTGGCGACGGTGGCGGAGGCGGCGGTGGTGGTGGTGGTGGCGGCGGTGGAGGTAGAGATGGCGGTGGCGGTGGCGGTGGCGATGACAGTGACAGTGGTGGTGAAAGTGTTGACGGCAGTGAGGGGGTGACGATAATGGTGGGGGAGGTGGTGGGGGGTGGTGGTAGTGGTGGTAGAGGTAATGGTGGAGCGGTTCAAAACAATTTTTTTTTTAAAGTACTTATGAGAAATAATTCCTATAAACACTTTTAAAAAATTACTTCAAATACACCTTTAGAGACTTATTTTTTTCTATTAAATTTGGATTTTTAAAATTAGTCGTCAGATTAACTTTAAAGTAAAATTTAAAGAATCTCAATCGTGAATAATAAAAATTATTTTGTTTATCTTTTAAGATTTGAATTGTAAACTACTTTATTATATGTACTAGTTATTGTCTTGTACCTGAAGGTATAGAGTAATAAAAAATAGTAAACAATAAACATATTTGTATTCATATCTAAAATCAAATTACAAACATAAAGAAGAAATAAAAAAAATTTAAGTATCGATTTTATAGTAGGAGTGAGAGGTGATGGTAGCAGACGGTAATGGTTGTGGTGGGTGACAATAACTATGGTGGTGGCGACAGTGATGGTGGCGGTGGTGGTAGTGGTGGCGGCGACGGTGATGATAGTGGCAGTGGTGGCGGCAATAGCAATGATGGTGGCGATGATAGTGGCAGTGGTTGTGGCGACGGTGTTAGTGGTGGTGGCCGTGGCCGTGGCAGCTACGATGGTGGTGGTAGGGTAATGGGGGTAGAGGTAGTGGTGGGGCGGTTTAAAATACTATTTTTTTTTAAAAAAATATTTATGAGAAATAATTTCTAAAAATCACTCCAAACACACCTTTAGAGGTCTATTTTTTCTATTAAATTTATAATATTAATATTAGCCGTTAGATTAACTTTAAAGTAAAATTTAAAACGATCTCAACTGGAAATAGCAAAAGTCATTTTGTTTAGGAAAAATTTCAACCATATCCCCTCTAGTTTACCATATTTTTAAGGACACCCCCTCTAGTTTCTGAATCTTCAATGACACCTCCTGTCAGATTAAAAACATTAAGTAAAATACAATTTTACTAAATTGTCCATGATATATTTGATGACAAACTTCATCCACACCCCCTCTAGATAAACATATCTTCAATGAAATCCCCTCTAGATAAGTATATTTTTAATGAGACCTCCTCTGTTTTCTAATTTTTTTTACATAATTAAATTTGAACCGATTAAAATTCGATTCAATCTAACTAAAATTTATTTTTTTACTTATTAAAATTTGTGCCAATTAAAAATTATATTTTTTTTACGTATTAGAATTTGAGCTAATTAAAATTTTGATTGAGACAATTAAAAATTATTTTTAATTGACTCAAATCAAATTTTAATTAATTCGCATTGAATTTTAATCAATCCAAATTTTAATATATAAAAATATATGAATTTTAATTGACTTAAATTTTAATAAATCTAATTTTAATTGACACGAATTTTAATATGTAAAAAAATATAAATTTTACTCGACTCGAAAGAGAATTTTAATCGACGCTAACAATTCGGGTAGAGTTCAAATCGATTCAAATTTTAATATGTAAAAAAAAAATTAATAGGCTCAATTTTTTTAAAAAAATTTACGAATTAGTAAATAACAAATTAGTATTTACTAACAAATTATTTACTAAAATTGTTATTTATAATTTTTTTAAAAATTTTAACGGCTTGAATTTTAATAAAATTTTATATAAAAAAATTACTTGAGGTTATATAAAGACATTTTTGGTATTTTAGATGAATTATTTTTGTTAAAAATAGTAGTTTAATGGTAAGAGGTGTTAATGATGTTTAAATTAAACTAGAATTGGTGTTATTAAAGAATCAAAAATTAGAGGGGATGTCTTTGAAGATATAGTAAACTAGATGGAGTGTCGTCATTGAAATTTTTCATTTTGTTTATTTTTAAGATTTGAATTGTAAGTTACTTTATTATATATACTAGTTATTGTCAGTGCCTGAAGACACATAATAATAAAAAATGGTAAATAATAAACATATTTGTGTTCATATCCAAAATCAAATCACAAATATAAAGAAAAGATAAAAGAATTTAAATATCGATTTATAATAGGGATGAGAGGTGATGGGCGACAGTGGTAGTGGTAGAAGATGGTGATGGTTGACAACGACCATGGTGGCGGCAGCAGGGTGGTGGCGACGGCGATGGTGATGATGGCGGCGGTGGTGGTAGAGGTAGGGGTGGGACGGTTTTGAACACTATTTTTTTAAAAGTATTATTGGGGTCTATTTTTTTTATTAAATTTAGGATGTTAATATTAACCGTTAAATTAACTTTGAAGTAATTTTATTTAATTTTTAGATTTGAATCGTAAACACTTTATTATAATAGATATTTTCTGACATGCTTGATTGTCCCGTTCAAGGAAAGCAGGAAAGGTCACTACTACCATGAACGGTGGTGTCATGAAGTTATTGGTGAAATTCAGATCCGTAAGCATTCGGTCTATGCTTGCTTCACTTGCGAAACCCCGCCAAGTTACATCTCCTTGTCCTAGAGGCAACAGGCCACAAAACGAAAGAAGATCTGAAGTGACCCTTCGGAATAATCAGAGGCTAATCAAGCCATCTGACAAATGGTTGCTACAAAGGAACCACGGAGAGAGCAACAGCCATATCAATAACACTTCTCAAACTGGTGAGAAATCAAGAGTCTTGGAGGTCAACTTGGATACAATCAGGGCTCCGCCAGAGGTTGCAACAAGGAACGCTGAAAGCAATAACAAACAGGCAAAAAGTTGTCCAAGTTCTATCAAGTCCTCACCAATTCACCAAGAAATCCTGAGTGTGAACAAAGTTTATGCGAGGGAGAACTCAATCCAGGCAGCCATTGCTCACTGTAAGAGATCGTTCGGCCAGACAGATGATTTTAGTTGCTGAACTTCCCTCAGATGTAAGTGAGCGTCCATAGGATTTCTGTATTGGTTTTCTTCTAATGTTCTGACTACAGGTATAATATTTCAAAGATAACCAGAGAGATTTTTGTCTATTTTATGATCTGAGTCTGCATTTTCTCCATTAAAAGACCACCAAGTTTTCATCAAGAATTTAGGTGCCACAAGTATCATACAGTACCCTGAGCATAGCGCTCTCTTGTCTCGCTGCATTCATAACCAAGAAATCTGCCTCTTTCATGAACAAACTTTCCCCAAAAATTCTAACAAATTAAGAATGGCTGACAGGATTTACCCTAGACAAATAGCCCTACAAGCATTCAACTTCATGAGACCATATATTACAACCCAAATAAATCATTCAAGGTGAATATACTAGAGTTGCTCGATTTTTTTTTTTCTGTTTTGGGGTAAGTTAAGAGATTAAGGTTGTTGGACCAAAATACAATTAGGGATGGTTCTGAGACAAAAGAGATGGGGTTTGCCTGCACGACCTGAACTCACTAGAACCGCAACAACTTGTAATTGCCAAAGGGTAACCATTTCAATGATGTCCCCATTCATTTTGAAGAATTATTGTAAAATATGACTCGTTAGTTGCCTCCTCATGTTCGTCCCCTCTTTCCCTCTCCCTCCTTTGTATTAGTTCTTTCAAATCCATTAGACCTTAAAGCTACTTTAGGAATCAAGTATGTCACCCCACGTATAGACTCATCCAGTAACTTAAATACTCGAGATCACTCATTCTTTGTAAGGAGTGAAATAAAATTACTTTGACAAAATGAAGTGACTCTCTGGAATTATCAGAGGCTAATCAAGCCATCTGAGAAATGGTTGCTACAGAGAAACCAGGGGCAGTGTACCAGCCATATCAACAACACCTCTCAAAATGGTGATCATGAGAAATCTGGAGTCTTGGACGTGAACTCTCCAAAGGGTGCAGCAAGGAGCGCTACACGCAATGGTAAAGTTCTATGAAGTCCTCGCCAGTTAACCAAGAAGTTCTGAGTAAGAAAAAAATTAATGCAAGAGAGAACTCAATTAAAGCAGCCATTGCCCACTGCAAGAAATCATTTGGCCAGACAGATCTCTATTGTTTTACACTTCCCACTGATGTAAGCGACTGTTTCCAGGATTCAGCGAGGGTTTTGTTCTGATTACCCGTATAATCTTTCAAAGAAAACCTTAAGAGATTTTATTCTATAATATGAGATGAGAGTCTGCCATCTTTTCCATTAAAAGACCACCAATTTTTCATCAAGCAGGTACCACAAGTATCGTACACGACATATCTCATCACAGTGCTCTTTTCTTTTCACTCCATTCATAACCAAAAAGTCCCCCCCTTTCATGCCCAAATTTATCTAAAGAGCTCTGTAATTTGGAGAAATGGAGAATGCAAGGTTGACAAGATTTATTGACGGTGAAATACCCCTACAAGCATTCAACAATTCATAAGACAACATGCTACAACCCAAATAAATCATTCAAAGTGAATATCCAAGAGTAGCTTGAATTTTTTGAGTAGATGAACAAATAACAAAACAGAAGAATTTTCGTGTGCAGATGGAATTGCCAAATTCTTATCTTCTAAGGTGTAACCATTTGAATCATATCGGCATTCATTTTGATGAACTAAATACTGTAAAATATGATTTAATGATTTGCTCACCCCTTCTCCATCCCCTCTTCCCTCACCTTCCATTGTGTTAGTTCTTTCCAATCCAATATGTGTGTGCAGGATTTTACACAATATAAATACGAGAACAGATCTCTCTCGTGGTGAACTCGAGTCAGTCAATCAAATGGTCAACCTTGCTATTGGGAATAGTCTATGAGGTCCTGTGGTAACTTGGAACGATAATGGAAGACCCACGTGGATCAACGGAGCGATCCAGTAAGGCTGAGGAAGGTTCCTGGAACAAAGAAAGGCAAGTTAGAAGGGCGCCGGAGTGTTTTTCGGCGTATCCCCTCCGACGATCAAGTCAGTATTTGAGAGGGGGGAAGAAGAAAACACTGAGTATATGTTTTAGGAAAAGTTTTTTGTTGCATACCGTCTTGCCTTTTGCGAGGAGTATTTATACCTCAAAAACTCATGATTACTGTTAGTGTGGTCAGTAAGTGATCATTAGGTACAGACAACGTGTCACTGATTCCTATGAGGAATGTCTTCTCTCTTAATTGCTCGAGACCCCGAGCAATCAATGCGTCGTCATCGGCCTGCCGAATATTCAATGAGTTCTTCTCGGCAAGAGAGTAATAAATGCCCAGTATCAAGGACATTTATTGTCTTTCTCTTCTGAGCCTTACCGCATTAAATGTTGTCTCATCAAGAGAATGACTTAATTAAATGTTTGCTTTCCCAAGTTGTGTGTCAGCAAGGACATTCGGTCTTTTTGTCTCTGATGTGACACAATATTTCACGTGCCCCTTCCCCATTGGCTGCGTCTTCTACCTTCATGTGCCTTCTGACACCAATTGTGTAAGACGAGGTCATGATGGCTAACCTAGCCTAGCCTAGGCTAGTGACCTGTACATCAATAGCCTCTGCGAGAGCAGAGAATGCCATCCTGGATGGTACACCTCGGAACCGAGGGGGAGGTACATCTCGGAGCCGAGAGGGAGGTACATATAGGGACCGATGTACCATATCTCCAACCGAGGGATACGTGTCGGTATGTAAACGTACTGGATGTCATTGATCCCTACGACCAGTACCTCGGGGGAGAGAGACTTGTGAACCGATGGATACGTGTCATGATCACAGTAACAAGAATTTAGTGACACCGAGGACACGTGTCTTCATCTTGGAGTATTTTAGAAATATCCCATCAACTGCCCCCCAGCCTTCGATCTTTTGACACCGAGGACACGCGTCGTAAGGAGACAAAGGGTTCTACAACAACCCCAATCGCTTCATCATTGCTTCTAGTCGTTTTCCCCTACTTAGGACGTCGTGCGCATTAAATGCGCCTTTTCGTGCTTTGCGTCCAATGATGGGATAGGTACTATATATAAATGGGCTTCCTCTCTTCTTTTCTCATTTCGTCATTCCAAACTTTCTCTAGAGAGCCCTTGCCTGAAACTATGCCCGAGATCCCCTTCCTTCCGTTTGTCAACTGCCCAACCATTTCACTGGAGTCTTAATGCCATCAGACCCATCCTTGCTTTTGAACTTTCTGGAAGGAGTCGCTTCAAGTTTTCCAGAAAAAACTTCTTTTTACATTCTGGTGAGTACTAGTATCTTCCCTCTCTTCGCCCTTCTGTCTTTTTTGATTTTTCGATAACTGGAGGTATTTTCTGGTTGTCACTCAGCGACCAACCCTCGGGAAGCCTCCTGGGGGATTTTCATGGAAAAACACCCTCCACTTTTTATCACTTTTTGGAGATGTCTCGTCGTCGCCCTGCCCCCGAGAATCCCGAGGCCAGTTCTTCGAGGTCAGGGAAGTATAAAGTAAAGGGGGTCGAGCAAATTGATAGGTTTAGGGTCAAATACAACATCCCCCCGTATGTAGGCATAGAGGACTATAACCCGGCTATGTATCTCCGTATCCTCGGGACCGAGGATGAGATGCCCTTCTATACCAAAGCCATCATAGAGGGCAGAATTAGGTTCCATCTGTCCCCTCTACTCCTCCAGTTTCTCTCTCATTTCCACCTCTTCCCCGGGCAGTGTTGCCTTAATGTCTTTAGGATAATTATGGGGGTCCTAGAGCTCAACAGGTGTCTCGGGGTAAATATTGGGCTGAACGATATCCTCTTTTGCTATTCCCTCTTGAGAGTTATGCCCTAACAAAATTTCTACCTCAAAGCTAGGGACCCCGTCCATGTTCCTCGTAACTCACCTTCCTGACTCGGACAAGGGGTACAAAGATGACCTACTTATCTTCAAGGGATCTTGGCAGAGAGGTGTCGGTCCCGAGTACAACGGCTTGTTATGCCCTTTGGAATGGAGAACGACAAGTACGTCGATTTCTTCGGGTCTCATTATTTTTGTTCTTGAGATTTTCTACAACTGTTCATAACCCCCTCCCCTCTCTTTTTTCTTTGTGTACAGACGTCCCTGCTCGGGAAACAGCTCCTCCACCTCGGTCCTTGGTGAACTTCGCCGACCTAGTCACTGTTTGGAGTTTTACTGATGACGACGGGTTCAGCCGGACTGCCCACATCCTCCTGAATTACACTCCTGGATATAAAAAATTCTCGCAACTTTCCCAGCCTTTCGAGCCTTCGCGATGGTCTGAATTCTTCGATCAGGCAGTGAGGCAAGAGGACGAGGAGAATTTGGAGGAATACCCTGACCGGGCTACGGAGGCAGAAGTAGAGGTTGAAGTTGACGAGCTCGGGGTTAGAGAGGATTTGGTTCCTTCGTACGCTAAGGTGGGGACTTCGGGGAGAGATTCGTGGCCTGACTTCCACATCCTGCAATCTCTAGACACCAAGGACGCCCTCGAGATAGCTATGTCCAACACTCCCCGCATTGATCTGGGATTCCTAAGGCAGAGGCAGGCCCTCGCTGCTAGGAGGGGACGAGGATCAACTGGTGGGGCCTCATCAACAGGGACCAGCGCCACACCAGCTTCAAGAGTCGATGGTCGGGGTTAGGTGCATGACCGAGATCCTCAGGTAGAGGAGGAGAGAAGAGTTAAACAAAGGCACGACGGCCTCGGCAGGGGACCCAGGGCCCTCTCCGCTCAACAGCAAAGCGGGAGAGGCCGTGGGTTACCTCCTCCCTAGCAGCACCAGCAACAACAGCAACGGCAGACTCCCCCTCCCCCTCCGCAGACAGTGGAAACCGCGGAGTGGAATCCTCGAGCCACTGATCACATGAACCGAGTGATCAGGGTCGACGACTCCATTTTGCTGGACCCCCATGTCGCCAATGCAGTGAGTGAGACGTTGCACTTCGATGCTGACATGACTACTCACAGGAGGCGATCAACGAACGTGTTGTTTCGCTCTATCATCCAAAATTCCCTAGTGGTAAGTTCATCTTTGCTTCAGTCCTTTCCATCCGCTTTTCTTTTTATTGACAAGTCCTTTCCCTTGCAAGCCACCCAACAGATT